ATCTAAATATAGAATATCACCCTGCCTGGTCTTTATTGTGTTTAATCAGAAGATAGGAGTCTGTATTTATTAGGAGATTGTACACACTTTGTTTTGATTCAGGAAACAGTCAGGTTTATAAAAGTAAGAATGTATTTTACAAACAATTAAAACTTGACAAATGGGGGGGGGGTCGGAGTCAGAGACCCCGGTACCGAAGTCCGTACACTAGCCTGCAGTACGACCAGGTCAGTCCAGAGTCATCTCCAGGTAACGACAGTTGGAACTAGTTTGCGTCTCAGGAATAACTCTTAAGGAGTTGAAAAAATCAGCTTGTTCTGCAGGAACTATCTTGTTGTATCAGCTTTGCAGGTGCGAAAAAATTTTTTGACGACGTGTCAAAAGCTTTGGTGGGTTCATGGACGTAATTTTGGGGGGGGACAGGGGGGACATGTCCCCCCCACTTTTTCCAAAGTCAAGTTTTGACCCCTGCACTTTTTACCATCCAAAAACAATATTACGCTATATTAAATTGACACTGGTTGAGCTCTAGGACCAAGCGGAAAACAACCGTTTGTGTTGAAGCCTGTTTCCCATTAGAACATACTGTAAAGATACCCCCCCCCCCCCCCCCCCCCGTGTCCCCCCCACTTCTAAAGTGAAAATTACGTCCTTGGGTGGGTTAAACAGGTGTTGGCTTCAGGTGGCCAGCCTGAAGCTTCTCTAGAACTGAAGAATCACCAGCGTGATCTGGTTTTAACGTTATGATTGTGTAGCCAACCAGAGGTTGACAAGTTTGGATGTTACCAAGAATCTCAGAGACACACTCCTTCTTTGATCCAGAGGTTCTGATCTGGGTAAAAGTTTAATTATGTGTCATGGACTTAACTTTATCTTACTTTGTCCTTGTGTGAGTGCAAATGTTATGACCTTGTCAGGTAAACACGCTGAAACAATCATTGAGCACAGATTAAGGAAACATTTCATTATTTTATAGTTATTTTAAGTAGCAATAAACAAACATTTATTTAATGATTATCTAGCTTGTAAATTTCATAAGTTCATGTTTAATTTTAAAAATCTTCTTTCTTCTTTGAAGCGAGGAGTTTAGATAAAAGGGTTGCTCTGTGAGGGACCTTGGAAAGAACAGGATGTCAATGTTATGATTTCGTTATCTCTGTCAGAGCTGCAGGTTCTGAGCTCCAGCTGGTGTGAGGAAGGCAGGCTGATTTAAAGGGAACACGTGCAGTCTTGTGTCTCCTTTATGACCAGATGTTGAATGGTCAAACTTGACCATTGCTGGACGTTACAGAAGGAGACTAGGCAGTTTTGCTATGCTTTTAACGCCCCCTGGTGTAAGTTTATGGAAGCAAAACCTATCTCCTTGCTGTGTATTCATCTTTTTAACAGCTTAAATGTCTCGACAGCCTTCCACAGTTTCTACAGGAGTGATTCATCACCAAAATAAACACTTCAGCTATGTTCATGACCTAAAACATGCAGGAAATGTGCTGAAAGCAGACCACATCGCCAGGTGCGTCAGCTCCAACAGACCGGTCCAGTAACTCAGAAGTTGCAAGTGGGATATTCTGGCCACAGGGGCCGACAGGGGGCTGGGTGGCCTTTCATTCACCCAGTAAAGGGTCATTTTAGCACATATTGGCTCAAGAAAATAATTTTAAAATATGAAAAAGTAGCAAAGTGTCCCTTTAAATTTGTAGTGGTTTTTTGTAACATAGACGAGAAAGAAATCACAATTTTGCTTCTATTAAAGCTGCTTTCCGGAGTTTTCCTCTTTCAGAAATTATGTATGATTTGTCAGAAATCCGAAAAAGTGATTATCCTATCATGTACTGTGATATAATATAAGCAATACGTCTTTTTTTATTTTTTCTAAACACGCCCCCTGCCCGGCAGTGCTCCATGCAATCGGAAACTGAGCGCCAACCAGAACTAACCAATAGTGTTAGATTGCCGCTTAGACGTTTCAAATTTAAGGAAGTACCTCGGCTGATGCAGAGTTGATGAACTTTTCACAGACAAGTAAGTCTCTAAAATATAAATATATGAAAACACAACATGACATGAGAATAATACTCATGAAATAATGTGTTTTAGCTCTGTTTAGTCAGCTACAGAAGCACATTTATGGACAGAAACGTGAAGTCGCCATTTTAAAGGGGCATTATTGAAGTTTGACAGCCAAAACATGTATAGAAATAATAAATTTCTTCTTCATACATTCTCCTGCAATGCCCTGGTCCTGTAGAATGAGCCCTGGCATTTTTACTGTGATTGCCTGTTTTTCTGTAAAATCACAGAAAAAGAGAGATGCTCGGTTCGAGCAGGCTGCTTCATGCGCGTTCACGCTCAGGCATCGCCCTCCGAACCGTTCATGAACGTTGTTTCAGCTGTCATCAAATGTTACAGATACAAAAGACGTCACTGGCGCTTTAGACCACCTACTAAGATGTTAGGCTTTCGAGCTGGAGACCCAGGTTTGATTCTGGATGTGAACATAGTTTATTTAGAGTTTCTGTTTTACATTAATGGTATTTTTTTTTACAGTAAGATGCCCAAGTTTTTATTTGAGACTCCCCGAACGGCATTGAATTCACAGATAAAAAAGATGTGGGTTCAGTTTTCATTTTGGAACAATTTTTCAAGAGCATGCAGGAGGACTGACCCATCTTAAACCTTTGTCGGCTGTGCTGAAGAGAAAGGTACAGAACCAAATTATTTCATTAATTAGCTGCGCGTTCTCCTGTCCTCTGTCCTCCAGGCCACACACACACACACACACACACACACGGGACTGTCTCAGCTGTTATTTTCGTTAAGGAGTGTGCACGTACAGCATGCACGCCTCGTGCACGAGCCAACTATTGAAGCTGCCGTTACACTTTTGGCCTGAGGGGAAAATCGCGAGCATAAAAATTCAAAACTCTGTAAAGTCCGTTTAAAAAAAGAGGAACTGCGTTTTTGTGTGATACGCTTGTCAGCCACTAGATGGTGCTATCGGATAAGAGAAATATTCCCGAAGGAAGCTTTAAGTTTTAAAATTATGGGGGGGAAAACTTGCAAAAAGAGTATGGATGTTGGTGTTAGTGAAAAATTAGGTAAAATAAACATAAACAGATCTAAAAATATATTACTGGTACTTTTAATCTAATTCTGTTTTAGAAATCTGATGTTGAAATAAAGTGAATGAAAAGCTGCTTAAACCTGCAGTTTTCATTTATTTTTTACTGATTTTTAGCCAAAGTTATTAAGATCCATTGTGGAAGACCCACAGAGCCACTTGTGGCTCCAGAGCCACATGTTGCAGACCCCTGCTCTAGAGGATATAGGAATATTCACAGCAACCAATTGTCATAATAATAAATATCAATACAAACTAACATTTTGGCCTCTTAGTTTGATTTTCTTCAGAGGACAAAACAGGAAGCAGCAAATAAATTCACGGACAACTCTGGAAAATATGGCTTAAAGGGCAAATCTTCAACTCCTTGAATCCCTTCTAGCTCAAACAAGAATCATTAATATTTTATTGCCATTGCACTAGCGTCCCAGTACAACGAAAGTACAGTTTCAGAACGACCCGTCCAAGATTTGACGTACAAAAACAAAAACAAGACACAACATAACACAATCAGGCTGAACTGTGGGCATGAGCGCACCTCGCGCTCCCGATGTAAAAAGGGGTACGGGGAGGAGGGAGGAAAAGGCATTCCAACGTTACCCCCATGTAACAGAATATAGTTGGTATATTCTTACACTTTCATTAAGGTACAGAGATATCACTGATCCAAGCCTGAGCTGGATCATTAATCTCTGGACCGGGCCCTTAGAATCAAAAGAGGTTGTTTTTACTACAGGGAATTTTATTTAAACACCTTGTATTGAATTAGAGACAAGAAGAGAGAGAGAGATGGGACGTTTAAGAATATTTATTTTATAATTATTTGAAACAATCCCCAGGACTAACTCTCTAATGATGGATGCAGATGAATGTAATGCTGAAGTGGTGGTGTGTGTGTGTGTCAGTTCAGAATCTCCATCTGGTGGAGGCGAGTCTGAGTGCGGGATGTTGTTTTGTTACTAACTGACAGACGATGGATTTCAGGAGGAAGACATGAGACGCGATCTTGCCGATCTACGTACCGTGCGGAGACTTCCGTGTTAGATCCGGATGCCAGGTCCTCGGACCCTCCTTGTGCTGGAACTGGTGAAACAGCGTCGGCAGCACGACAAACCAGTCTATGGATCGCCTCTCGGTACGACGGCAGGGTTCAGCGTCACGTAGAGACAGTTCAGCTTTTATTCTGAAGGAACCGTCGTCTTGTTGATAAAACGACAGAATTTTCCAGCTTGACAGTTCTCAGCTTAAAAGTAGAAAATACAGCTGGCCAGTCTGTACTTCACTTAGCAATGATGGACATCAGATGGATTTGAGAGCTGGTCGAGTACTTGGTTGGAACTGCGTTGAACCAAGTTGAACTACGTTGAAACTCAATGGAACTGAATTAAAATGGCGTTGTTCTGTTTTATTAAGCGTAGTTGTTTTTGGTTCTTAGCCAATCGGAGTGGACAGATTAACTAAACACCCAAGGACTCTGCCGCGCATCAGAAAGGAAGTTCTGATTGGATGAGTGAACAATGTGTCATGTGTTTATCTTATGTGGATCAGGATGTCTAGCTCAGTTAGCCCAAAGTCTTGTTATTCATTAAACACATAAATCATAACAATGTGATTTCACAGATCAGTTACCTGATTATTATTGACCAACAGTTGTTTTGATTAGCTTTATTAGGAATAAAGTTATTTGATTAACTAATGAAAAGCGTTCTTCGTCCTTCTTCTGTCTTCTTTGCTGGAATGTAAACATCAGAAGCAAGCGCACGACCTTGGCAATTTATGCACACTGTCACTGTGTCAAAGGGCAGCTGTTAAGGGCAGAAGTGGCATATTCATAACGTTACCCCCAACAGGGTTGCTTTTGCAAAAAAAATGTAAAAAAGCATGACATTGTTTCTAAATATAGATGCACACATCCAGTTCCTTAAGCCTGATCTCATAACAGTTACCCTCTGAGCCTTTCCCCAGCTCCATCATTATCAACTTCCCTTTTTTCAGACTCAATCCAAAGAAGTGGATCATAAAACTGCTGCGAACTGTCTCGCTCCAAACAAATTCTTCAGTCGTTAAACAACAGGAAACTACCGTTGCCCTCGATAAGGTCATAGAGCAGCTCAGAAAAACGGCCTCCCACGTCTGGCACTCTCGCTCCAGAGTGGCCCTCCCTGCGCTCTCGTGCGCTCGCTCCTCCCTTTGTCAAGTATCAACAGGCACACTTTAAAAGTCCACACCCCTGCACAGCTCCTCTTGTGCACATGCTATAGCATTTAGATGAGATCTGTGATACTGGGATTAACTCCACACCTTCTCACTCACCTGTGTTTTTTTCTGGAGGATTTGAAGAGCCAACATGGAAATGAGACCGAGGCTCTGCAGCTGTAAAGGTTGTAGCTGTTTGGTGTGGCTATGAACTCAGACTATGTCTTTTGTTTGTGAAATAAAAAAGGAGTGGCTGTTTAGTTGTTTCTCAACATTTGGAACATCTGAGGTAAGGAATCAGCCTTCCTGACGTTGGCGTGCTCATTTCTCCTGATTTCATCAAGACATTCAACAATCAAACACGCCTGTTTTGAGTTTTTTAATTTTTTTCACATTTGACATCCCCAGAAGGTGCCTTCTCTGTGACGGTAGAGCTTCGCACAGCGATGGACTTGACTTTGTGGCAGTACCAGTTCAGGATCATCATGCTGGGGGACTCGACGGTGGGCAAGTCGTCCCTGCTGAAGCGCTACACTGAGGACTTGTTCCTGGAGTCCATCAACCAGACGGTGGGCGTAGATTTCTACGTTCACTTCCTGGAGGTGGAACCGGGGGTCCGCGTCAAGCTGCAATTCTGGGACACGGCCGGGCAGGAGAGGTTCAGGTAGGCCTCACCTGACATCCACCTTGCTGTTAAAGATCGTTCGTGCGTGACCTCTGCACAATTCCAAAGCTCCTGTGCTTCATTTGCATTCATCAGACCCACAAATGGAAACAGCTTTCGTATCCTGAGCAGAATAGAAACATTGTGTATGCAAATAAACCCATGGTCCTTCCTGTCACCTCCAAGCTGTTCATCCGTGTTTACTTTCAGCTCTGACTCTAGCAGCCCCTCTCAGACATCCCAGCGTGGACAGAAGTGCACCGTGTGCGATTCTTGGAGAAGGGAGTATTCTCCACATTCAGCATATTTAATGAAAGTTCTGGGAGTTGCACATTTCATTCTGTCTCTCTGTTCATTTTTTATCGGTTGTTCAGTTGAATGAACTGCAAAAAAAGAAAAAGCAAATCACGCCTGGGTGCATTTACCTCGGCCCTTCGAGATATCTGCAGCCCCATAAGTCAGCTAAACCTGAGCGGAGGTTGTTTTAATGAGTGTATTTAATTAAATGTGTGTGTGTTGGGGTTGCATGTATTTCTGTTTACGGAAATACGTGCAAATATAATATATTTGTTTTCAACAAAGGCAGATTCTGTGTCAGTCTGCTCGTCTGAAAGGATTTAACTCCTGCAGCACAGCTGCTCACGGTGGAGAAGGAAGTCCGGAATCTGGCTCGGGTGGTTTTTGTGTAAACATTCCTCTCTCTCTCTCCTCTTTTCCTCAGATCAGTGACCCGTTCTTATTACCGCAACTCGGTTGGAGGCCTGCTGGTGTTTGACATCACCAGCCGAGCCTCCTTTGACCATGTAAAGGAGTGGCACGCGGAGGTGCATGAGCGAGTGCAGCCACACACGGTTCTGTTCGTCCTGGTGGGTCAAAAGATCGACCAACACGCTCACGGGAAGAGGGCGGTGAGCCGAGAAGAAGCAGAGAAACTGGCGGGGCAGCTGGGGATGCCCTACGTGGAGGCCTCTGCAAAGACTGGACAAAATGTGAGGGAGGCCTTCGAGCTCCTGACTCGACGGATCTACCAGGGTCTGCTGAGTGGAGAAGTGAAGCTGCTGGAGGGCTGGGATGGTGTCAAGTGCGCTGCGCCGCAGGCGCTTCAGTTACAAAGAGCCAGCATGTCTCAACCTAGCTCAACGCCCAAGAATGACAAAAAGTGCTGTGGGTGAATAATTAACTCGTGACGGCTAGACATATGAACTCACGCTGCTGTGGAACGACTGCTTTTCTATGGGGCGCTGGTTGTCAAGTTATACATAAAGAAAATTAAAAACTAGCACATTTTGCTTTAAATTATAATGTAAAAACAAAATATTTAGAATAAAAAAAAAAAATATATATATATATATAAAGTTACATTTAATTATATAGAATCAAATAAAAAAGGTTTAAGTTTAAATATTATAAATTAAACTAAATGTATATTATTTAATTTTAAAAAGTTAATGTTTTGAATCAAATCTAAATATTTAAAATTATATCTCAGTGTTAATTTCTAAATATAACATTTTAAGCTGAATATTTAGCTAACATGCAAATTTTTATTATCGTAAAATGGAAGTAGCCTTTCAAAATAAGAAGAAAGAAATTCCCGATCCAATTGTCTCAGAGTCTATTTAAGTTCAGAATGAGAGTGTTTGTGTAACCATACTTCATTATCAGTGTCGGGGGGAGTTTAAAGGATTAATAAGAATAAAAAGTTCCCTTTGCTTTTATTTTGATAGGCTTCCTCTGTTTTACTGAACTCTGAATTTCAGTGTCACCTAAATATTTTGTTTTAAACCATAATTAAAATTAGGATTTCAATATTAGATGTAACTTTATACATTTAGCTTTAATTCAACACATTGAGATAGAAATATATGAATATATATTGAAATTTGATTTTAATTTTTTCTCAATACTGAGTAACACTTTACAATAAGGGTCCCTGTAATAATGTTACCAGTATTGTTAACTAAGAAACAAGACTTTAAATAAGACTTTATTAGGTAGTTTATTAATGCCTAATGTTGCATTAAGTAACATTAATAAAGGTACCCTTACTGTAAAGTGTTACTCAGTATTTTGACTTTTTTCAGCACTTTAATTACTTAAATAAAAGTGATGAAAATAAAAGTTCACACCAGATTTTTACTGAGCTAAATGTGGCAACAAGTGATTTATTTTTTAACTTATTACTTTGTGATCAACCTCTGAGGTTTCTGTTTTTCATTTGTTAGCCGCTTAGCTAGCTGAGCAAGGACACATGGGAGGTGTCTTGTAGCCTGGCTTTGGTCCAAAAATTCCCAGAATACAGCACGGTATTTTCAAAAGGATTGGGTATCAGGAGTCAGCAGCTACTTCAAGGGCAAATTTCCAGTTTAACTGTAAGTCAACTAACTGTAGCTATCGAGCTGATACCTCAAATGTTTTTTTTAGATCCAAAGCAGTTAGCTATGGTTGGTTAGTTGCTCAGTAGTTGCAGCTTCGGTGGCTAGCAGGTACTAACCCGCTTGCACATTTAATTTAACCAATATATACACAATTAAAAAAGTAAAAGGCTCATTATACAGTTAGATTGACACTTACATGTATAAAATATAACTTTACATGTCCCGTGACGTGACCACCATGTTCACGTGATGCGAGTCTGTTCCATTTAACCATTTTCTTTGAGAATGTGTTGACAGTGTCCTTGTAAGCAAGGTGCCTGGGTGTTACTCAATGTCAAGACGCCTGGTCTCGCGAGGCGATATCTTGCGAGGCCAGGCGCCTTGCTTACGAGGACACTGTCCTTCCTTGGTCAAAGAAAATGGTTAAATAGAACAGACTTGCATCACGTGACCGTGGCTTCCACGGCGGTCACGTAACATCACGTGACACGGGAGATAACGTTATATTTTATACATATTAGTTTCAATATAAATATATAATGAGCCTTTTACTTTTTAAATTGCATTTATATTTGTTAAATTAATATATAAGTGAGTTACTACGCGCTAGCCACCGAAGCTGCAACTACTAAACAACTAACCAACCATAGATAACTTCTTTGGATCTAAAAAAAACCCCAAAACATTTTAAATTAGTTGACTTACTTTTAAACTTGAAATTTGCCCCCAAAGTATCTGCCGGCTTCTGATTCACCATCCTTTTGCAAATACCGTGGTGTGTTCTGGGTAATTTTTGACCAAGTCTAGGCTACAAGACACCTCCTGTGTATACTTGCTCAGCTAGCTAAACAGCTAACAAATGGAGAACACGCCTGGGTAGAACATGAACATTGGAACACTTCTTGGCGGCCCCTGATGACGTATCTCCTAGGCAACTGGGGCGGGGCCAAGACATCAAGGTGAGGTTTCTTGACATTGAGAAACATCCCTGGTGTCTCCAGCATGTCCTGGGTCTTCCTTTATTGTCTCCTTCCGGTTGGGCAGTAGTAGCTCAACAGGTTGAGCGGGTTGTCCAGTAATCGGAAGGTCCGGCTCCGGACAGAGAATTCTGCTGTTGTGTCCTTGGACAAGACTCTTAACCCACCTTGCCTGCTGGTGGTGGTCGAGGGATCGGTGGCGCCTGTGTTCGGCGGCCTCGCCTCTGTCAGTGCGCCCCAGTGCAGCTGTAGCTACATTGTAGCTCATCACCATCAGTGTGTGAATGTGTGTGTGGAGGAATGATACACTGTAGTCTAAAGCGCTTTGGAGTCCTTACTCTGAGAGGCGCTACACAAGTGCGGGTCATTTATCATTTTTCATTTGGATGTGCCCGGAAAACCTCAACAGAGAGGCATCCAGGAGGCATCCTGAGCAGGTGCCCGAGTCACCTGAACTGGATCCTCTCAATGCGGAGGCGTAGCGGATCTACTCCAAACCCCTCTTGAGTGACTGAGCTCCACACCTTATCTCTAAGGGACAGCCCTGACACCCTGTGGAGAAAACTTATTTCACCCACTTGTACCTATCATCTCGTTCTTTCGGTCCCTACCCAAAGCTCGTGACCATAGATGAGGATAGGAACGTAGATCGACTGGTGAATCAAGAGCCTCACCTTTAAGCTCAGCGCTCTCTTCACCACGACAGACCGGTACGACTGCAGATGCAGCACCAATCCACCTGTCGATCTCTCTTCATCTTTTCCTCACTCGTGAACAAGACCCCAAGATACTTCCACTCCTCCACTTGGGACCTCGTTGTTAAAAGAAAGCTTTGCCAAGCGTCAACCTAAGCGAACGCAAAAACTACACTATTTGCTAAAATTGTGTGTGTGACCACGTTACTTGAATGTGTGTATGCGTTTTATGCTTCAGCCTATCATGCTAATGGACTGATGAGGTCATTGCTTACCTCAGAGGAAGCAGATTGTAAAAGTGACGTCTAGTGGGATTTTTATTATCTTTTTTCATTAATCAGTGTTTTAGATGTAAAAAATCCAATACACAATTTAGTGCTAAGGGATGACATCACATCCTCTCTATCATTGAGGTTTTTTTATCTCGTGACCTGTAGGCGACTGTGGAGAAATGATTTGCAAGAGTACACAAAATAATCTTTGGGCACCATTTTACAATAAAGATCCTTTTATTAACATTCCTGATATTAACTATTAAGTGTCCTTAAGGTTAGGACAAAGGGCTAGAGGTCTGTAATGCACTACTTAAATAACATTATTAAGCATTTGTTAATACTTCAGTTTATTAATGCCTCATCATGCACTAAGTAACATTAATAAAAGGGGATCATTTAGTGAAACACTTGGTATTATTTTTTCAAATAAACTAAATGAACGTCTTTTGTCCGTGTCCAGAATTGGGTTTTAATTTTTGAATTTAATTTAGGAACTGCAAACAGAACAAGAATCAGTGCTGAAGAAACAAATGAGTTATTTGTTTCCGTTTTGGTCTGTAAGTGGCAGCAGCGACGGTACGAAAGGTCCGTTTTGATTAGAAGCCTTCCCTAATGTGATCCAGTCTTGGGCCAGTAGTTACAAATAAAATGCTTTGCTGTAACAATAACTGCACATCACTCTACAAGTGACTGACTTGTTTTCATGCACTGCTCCTGCAGCCATTGTGATCCCTCTAATAAACCCTTCATCCACCAAAAGAAAACAACTTAACAGCTGTTGCTTTATTTTATTCCACAGCCTAAATCATCCTCGTGTTTAGTGAATCCATCACATTTGTTGATATATCGGCTCAGCCTCTGAACCACTTCATCGTTCATCTAGATGCAGTTTTAAATGTGCTGGGATTGCCTGACACCGAGACATTTTTACTCGTGAAACCCTCAACTACACTCACATAAAACATCCATTTTCTTTGCTTTTCAAATGAATGACACTCAAGTCAAAGCATGGAGAATGCAAACTCCAAAGCATAACTTGTATCGTGGTATTATTACTTTATTTCTGACAATGTAAAATTCAATTAAATACCATATCTTTCTATTTTTGATTTAGAGAAAGAAAAGGGAAAAACAAAGTCAAGCAGGGTAAACACAGTCAGTATGGTTATCATCTCCATGATCAAGAGTGTCAAAAATCTAACCACATTAGACGATGACGTTACAAACAATATTTTTAACAGAGTACAATGAGGTTCAGCCGGTCGTAGCGCAGCGGTAACACGTCAGAGTAAAACACACAAATACTATCGTGCTCTGGCAAAGCACGCAAATGTCTCAAGAGACGTGACAAAAACGATTTATTTCAAAAGATATACACCCCTCGTCAAAACCACGTACATTGTCTATTACCAAAAAAACATTCAGAACAACAGAGTCTGATGCTACTTTTTGGTCGTCTTGCGGATCAGCGCCATTCTCTGAAACAGAAAATAAGAGATGATCTCAGTCAGGTTTTTTTTACGTGTGCAGACTCACGTACGATATTGAAAGGAATATTTAGACACTATTGATTCTAACAGAAACCAACTTTTTTTCATATTTACCTGTTTATGAGCCTCTGTGGTGCATGCTTTCTTGAACGGTCTGATTTCATCTGACCCGTAACCAGGTATCCACATGTTCCACTGGCGCTCTGAAAGCATGAAATGATTACATGAAGACAATATGTCACCTCAGACCTCACGATATTTCATTAGAAAGAATATTTGAAAGTAATGCTATTATGTTCTAGGTTTGATTTCCTTGTGCAAAAGTCCCAAAATTGTACTCATTTTAGAATTTTACAATTAAGTTACCCGAAACCTACCGAGGTGTAGCTGAACATCTTTAACTTCTAATGTGTTGGATTTGCGATGGCGTGCTAGTTGGCAGGCAGCTGTCACCACACTTTCTATGAAGTCATCCGCAATTTGAAGCAGCATCTGAGAAGAGAAACATTTCTGATGCCTTCAAAAACATTTATAGAACTCAAGCGACACTATTCAACCTCGAAAAGGATAATTATTATCAATTGCCCCATTATTTCTTGAAATCAGACTTCTAAACTATTTTTAAATGAGAAAAAATGCTTTATTTATGTTTAAGTCGTGTATTTTGAAGCAGATTTGGGTATGAAAGTGGAAATTTAAGTTGAACACCACTAACAAACCTCCTCAACATCCTCATCCAGCTGCTCATTTGGGTCGATTTCTCTCACCAGGTCCTGAAGCTTCTTCTTACTGAGCACCTGGAGAAAATTTTCACAGAAATGTGTGTTAGAATAGAATTCTTGTTTTTTTATTTAGAGATAAACACTTTATTCAAAATGACATTAGACAAAGACAGCAAAGAGGAGGAACAAACCTGAGAGCCCTCTGGGCTGCTTCTACCTGCAGGACCCGAGGGCAGACCCTTCACTATTATCGGGGTGTTGTTAGCCATGCTGGTAAACACAGGCAAGCGTACTGGGATCCACTGGTTTCTGAGGTGCCCAAAATGTGGAAGTCCTTCAGAGAAAGCAACAGTCCTGGGTGACCGTCCAACTTGGGCACAGGTAGAATAGATCACCTTCGTACGAGGAACACGGCCTTTAATCTAAGGTGAAGAATCAGAAAATAAACAGCAGTCCCAAGTGAAGTTAGCTTGATCACAAGTTTTACCAGAGTGACAGATTTTAAAAGGAAATTTCCATGACATAATTCCTCTCAATAAATCAAATTAATAACAGTTTTTTATTTCCAGCACAGATATTTGTTTTTAATTGCTGCTATTCGTGATGAATGTTGATCCACTGACTTGCTACCCATTAATGATTGTTACAATGACCATTGCACAGCTGTTGAAAAATATGTGCTTGAAAGTATGTAAGGTAACCTAATACTGACATAAAATAATATGAAGTGGAATAAAAGTGTTTGTGAGCTCGCTGTAGCTTCAATTCGCCATAGACTGATTAGATTAGCAGTCAAACAACGAGTTAGCCCTGGACAAATTACAGACAGAAACCAAAAAAGCAGAACATTTCGTAACATTCACTAAAACTCTCCGGTTGCAAGCAAGCGACTCAGCATCTGTGACAAAAAAAAAGCAGCGATTTAAAAAGTAGAAAATCCAGATACTAAAAACAAACGCTATCCATTTTTGACGTTAGCCACAGACGCTAACGTTAGCAGCTAATCTGACGGAAGAACGTTATGTACCCTGCACTCAAAAATTATCTGAATTCGAATACTCACCACGTTAAATAAACACTATCTGTCCATATTTATTTGATACAAAAACGACTAAGTGTTTTAGTTACAAAGATAATCCAAAATTGTGTCTCCATACAATAAAAACAAACGAGCGAGTGCTTTTCAGCATTTCCGGTTAGCTTGGTTATACTTCCTGTGTCAAGGCGTTGTTCCTATGTCGCCTCCTGCTGGATATTCAAAGTATTACACAAACAAGCGGGTTAAAACTTCACGGATTTACTGAATTTTACAGATAAATGAACAATTTTCCAATAAAATAGTGATAATCCAATCAAACAATATAAATAAACTGTACTTAATTGAAATATATTACAACAGAATTTCTATTTTAAACCCCAAACATTCCCTAATTTAATCTAAAACACTTCTGTGGAATAATTTGCTAAATGAAACATCTCTTAAACCACAAGTTAATGAAGAATATGAGCTTTTTATCAACCCAAATTTATTTTGTATTGAATTTATTTGTTTTGTAAATATCGTGTGCACACATAATCAGTTAATGACCAGATTTCGTGCCAAAACATAATAAAACAAATTAAGGGATCAAAGCCGATGAAGCGCATAGTGCTGGCTTGGCTTTTGTATTACATGTCACCCTACAAATAAAAAGTAATAGTAAAACAAAAGCAAAACTACAACAAGTTCTTCAGGAAACCCCTGAACTTTCAAACCTACCTTGAGCGCTTTCCCCCGTGGATACAAATGACGCGCTGAGTTTACATAATACCATTGGCGGAGGAGCGAAGCGTCCCTTTGTCTGGCGCAGTTGAGCAAATAACCGAAATGTAATCCCTAGAGCAACGCTGTTGCAAAACCATACCTATTCCGCGTCATTTATTTTCATGCATAAAATGAAAATAATGGCTATGATCTTTCAGAGTCTCTTAATAATCTGATATCACACTTCCTGGACAAAAGCAGAACAGAAAGCCACACCTACGCTCTGATCTACTAATACAAAGGAAACTTTCATTTCAGTTTAGAGCTGCGCAGCACTTCAGGACTTCAGTTTTAGTGGTGAAAAGATTTTCCACAGACATGAAAACCTTTCTGGTGTTTTCACTGGTGGTCCTGATTCATGGCACCTTCGGTAAATATGTTTCTAATTCTCATCAACTGTTTTTAAAGCTGTGTGTTTTTTCTTATGTAAAAGGAAGCTTGGTTTAGGATTTTACTCTTTTAGTTTTTCTCATTTTACTTTTTATCTTTTTGTTATAGATTTATTCTACAGAGTCGTGTTTACTTGCCTGTTTGCGTCTCATCTGTTCTAAACACTGGTGCTTACGTCACGCAGAGATAAACAGCAAATGTTCAGAGTTCAGAAAATTAAACAAATTAAGTATATAGAATATAACCTCATGTTTACTGGGTTTTAGTAGAAAAATAAAAACATCAACAAACTTAAACTCTTGGCGCCAATAGATGGAACCTGTTTGTGGTCATGTGATCAAAGTATCTAGTATTTCTATGGTTTAAACTTATTAATCTACATGCTTTCACTGATCAATAACTTCATTATTTCTGTTTTTATGCAGCAACTTTGACCATTAAAGGGCCAACTGAGCCTGTTCTGGAGGAAGAGCCGGTCGTGCTTGAGTGTCTCTCCTCAGAGTCTGACTTCAATGTCTCCCAAGTCCACTTTGAGTACTTCCACCCAGTGAGTTCTTGGACATGTGTCAAAGGCTTATAATTCCCCTCTTGGGATCGCAAGAACAAAATCTGTAATTGTCATTTAAGGATTATCAAAAATGAATGCAATTATTTGAGGAAGCAGCTAACCAGACTTTGTATAACATTATGAAACACAGTCATTATGGTATTTAGAGCTGAAACAAATGAGCACTTATCTGAATTTTACAATGTTATAAATGTCTGGGTTTTAAAAATGCAAATGAACCTTGTCCACCAGTTTGCTCCTCACATTCATATTAAGTAATGTTTAGTTTTATCCTGGTGAATTATAGTATTTTAAAAGCATGCATAGGTGAGCCCCATGTTGACATATATGGACAAGCCGCATGGGTGCCAACAGGGTATTTCCGTGGTTTGCATGGTGGCCCCACAAGGGTTTGCCCACATAGAGTTTTGTCCAAATATGTGTTAACAGGCCGTACAGTTTTCAGAGGGACCCAGAAGGTTTGACATGGGCCGGTGTTCTGCCCAGTCGCCATGCTTATTACAGTGTATGCCTGTCTGACAGCACGAGTGTATCAGACAGGCATACGCTGTCGGCTCATCGTACCTTTGTTAAGCTGTATGACACTCATACAGCCACTGGGCCAGTTTACCAGTCAGATCATCATACACTTAGTTTTAGCAACTTTTCAACGCCCTGATGTGCTATTTTTACCAGTCAGATCAACACGTACTTTGTTTTTATTGACAGCACGACACCCTGACAGTCCAGTTCACCTGTCAGATCATCAGACACTTTAAGAACCCTATGATACCGTGACTTGTCAATTTGATGTTTTTGAAAGCTTTATTTACTAAAGAATTTTGATGCACATTCATCAGTTCATTTTTCTGGATGGTGAAACATTATGAACACAATTGACAAACATTTTCTGGTGCTTTGCCATCTGCAAGCCGATCTGAGGGCGCCTCAGAACGTAGCAGAGGCTAGATGAATGCACAGAAACTGCTGGTATGCTGCTCTGATATGTATGGTGCCTCGTCAGAACACCTGTGTGGGCAAACCCCTGTGGGTCCATGGAAACCATGAACAAAACCCTGTTGGCATCCATATGGTTTGCCTATATATATCCATATGGGGCTCACCTATGCACACTGGCTGGGTTAGCGCTCCGTTTGTTTTCTATATTTTTCTGAACTGACTGCGTATGCCTTTCTGACAAACTTGTGCTGAGTCATGGCGATATAAATACACTTAAATTTATTTATTTATTTATTTGTTTATTTATTTATTCACAGGTTGCATGAAAACTATTTCTGGATTTCTTCATAATTTATAATAATCATTTTGCCCGTCGAGCTTATGTGGTTCTTTTCAGATGTGTAGATTATTTATGCCACTTGTGCTAATTACAAGATTTGAAAAATCACATCAAAAATATTTTATTTACTTGACAGAATGCAGTGACATTTCAGGGGTTTTCTGTGTATGTTACATAGACTTGCATTGGTTGGTACCTGGAAAACTCATGTTTATTTAGTTGTGGCGTTTTGCTGAAATTTCCATTTAAAATAATCTACAACAACAAACAAAAACCAGTAACAGGAAGATTAATAATGTTCCACTTCTGCTTTAACCCTTGGTGTGTGTGTTTTGAAAGCTGAGTCATGCTTTATGTGCGTGTTCTTTGTTTCTCTGAAGCAGTACATGACTTCATGGCGTCGTGTTTGGGGCTCATCTATGAGGGATTGGTACTGCATGTCAGGACGTTGGTCGGATACGGAGGAGGAGAACACCGGACAACTGCTGATTTCCTATCCAACGAGGTACTCCGGAGTGGCCTTCCGCTGTGTGTCAGAAGCTGAAAATGTGACTGCACCGGACAACGCCTCCGAGCCGCTGACCTTCAAAGTCCAGTGTGAGTTTCTGGGTCGATATGGGACTGAGTCCTGTGGAAGCTGTCCACACATCAGTAACTCGTTTTGATTTTCACAAATATTTAAACCTGGTTAATCTCTTACAAATCTATGTCTATGAGTAAAGTAGTGATGTAAGTCTCATCGGCAAAATGTGGCAAACAGAGAGAAAGACCAAGTTCACTGAGAAACCACCTTTTACCAGAGGCGTGGACTCGAGTCACATGACTTGGACTCGAGTCAGACTTGAATCATTATTTTAATGACTTCTGACTTGACTTGATAAAGTCTATATATAAAGACTTATGACTTGACTTGGACTTGAAAGCCGATGACTTGCGACTTGAATCGACTTGCATCTGTTGACTCGATGATGACTTGAGCATATTTGATATTTTAGCACAAAAGTGGCACCACCATCAACATAAATATTGGACAGTGGGTTTCCATAGGCTCCAATAACACGTTTTTGAGGCTAAATGGGAGGTGGCTACCACCGCCATTTTGACCGTGTTACAGGTTCCGTCAAGCCCAGACAATTCCACAAAAGGGAAGAGAGGTGGAGCTGAGGGTGGGGCTGTAAGGCTGGGATCAACTGACGACACCCGGTCGAACTAGCTACAAGCTAACCTGAAGCTAACCCAAAGCTAACGCGGAGGTGGGAGCTAAGCTAACGGAGGTAGCAACCTAGCTACAACCGGAGTTAACTGTGCACAACACCAGAGCTTCTGAGTCAGAGATACGCCGGGCTGACCGCTGGGTAAAACCGGGTGGAAAACAGAGGTCTCCCGAGAACTCCACAAACCGGCAGCCCACACAGCAGACAAGCGCAGCTGCGATCTGAGATGTGCAGAGCTGCTGCTGGGGAGAACCGGGAGGAAAGGTTTCCATCCCAGAGCTCCACAAGCCGGCAGCCCGCGCAGCAGACAGAAGCCGCGATCAGACAGAGATGCGCCGAGCTGCGGGGAGGGGAGAAACGGGTGGAAAACATCGGTCTCCCGAGAGCAGGGGCGGCGTTAGGCCCGGCTACTTGGGCTGAAGCCCCGGATCTAAATCGCGGAAGTAACATGCAGTACCAAAGTCCAACAGAGAGGGAGCAGCTGGCAGTAGTTTGTATACAGCCTGCCTGAGCCTCCACCACTGAAAAAGAAGCCCTTCAGCAGCCAATTTCTTCTACAGTCTCTGCCTGAAACACATGAGTGAAGATGGACATAATGACGTTTTTAGACCAAAAGTACGGCAACAGAACCCCAGCTTTGATGAGACTGGTGCTGACTCAGGCTTGTGAGTCTTATTTGAAAATATTTGTTGTGCTGCTGGTTTGCCTAAAGTTAGCTTACTATCAGGTGAAGTGGTTGGGGAAAGAAAGGGAATATTTACTATCATCTCACACTAAACACTAACAGGATCAATACTCTGCCCTGAAAATGCTTAATATGTAGCTTCAGATTAAAAATTGTGTGGTACAAGACATATATGATGTTGACTAGTGCGTGTCACGTGTGTGTGCGTGTGTGTTCGCACGTGTGCGTGTGTGTTCACACGCGTGCGTGTGTGTGCGTGTGTTAAGCCCCGGATGTTCTTCAGTTCTTAATCCGCCCCTGCCCGAGAGCTCCACAAGCCGATAGGAACCCAGCTCCACCAACATGTTATATTTCAGCCCATTTTCTAAAATGCAGCATTATGTTAAATGCACTGGGTTTTACCCAAGGGCGTCAGTTTGTTTTCAGAATTGCTGGGGACAATAACCATACACTTGAGTGGGGTTTAAAAATTGCTGGGGACAATAAAGTAGGCTAGCACAGGGGTTGGCAATCCGCGGCTCTGGAGCCGCATGCGGCTCTTCCATCCATCTGATGCGGCTCTCTGTGCTTATAAAATAATGAATGGATATTTAAATTAAATGCTTTATATTTTACTGCATTATTTTTTCACCTGTATGCCAATTCTAAATGTAAAGATTGTCTGCGTAAACCTGAACAGGTCCAACCCGGTCTTACTGTGAGACCGGGTTGACGCGTCACGCTTGTGCGTAATCGTATAGGCGCTTTCTGAGCTGACGAGGATGTGAGATTCTGGGATTCTCCTCAGACGGCTCCTGGATGTGTCGCCACATTGGAGACAGGAACAAGCACTATTCAGCCAAAGTTTCATAATCAGGGAACATTTTCTAAGTGACAAGTCTCTCTGAGAGACAGGGTTTGGAAAACACTCGCTTCAGTGGGAGGAACCTTCCCGCATGCACTCTGGTTCTCTGGGTGGCTCTGGGGTTAATCAAGTTTAATTGTTTCTCTTTGCAACAATCTTCACAGGAAGGCAAAACAGTTAAACGGCAGGTTACATATATTTCCATTTGACTGTTTATTTTGACAGATGAACTCAAGGATGTTGCTTGGTTTGAAAGACTTACCCCGACGCACACTGATGTGCATGGATGAGCTGACATTTTAATCGTTAACGCACATCGCGGAGGTAAATTATTCCCATCAGAACATCAGAGCTTTATACTGGACACTGTGTTCAGCGCGGCTCGGAGCGCCCACGGTGGACAGTGAGCTGAAGATCTGGGGTTCACAGCGCAGTGCAGAACCACGGTGCATGCGATAAGATTTCCTCCCACTGAAACAGTCTGGAAACCCTGTCTCTCTGAGGGATGTGTCACTTGGAAAAATGTTCTTTTTATGAAATTATGAAACTTTGGCTGAACAGCGCTTGTTTCCGTCTCTAATATGGAGACGCATGACGCGTAGAGACATTTGATTACGCACAAAGTTTATGTGGAGCAGAAGCGGTCGGGCCACGGCAGGTGAAACGTTCCTAGCCTACATGAAGTGAAACTGTTTAATTGTAACATTAATGTGTTACTGGACACGCTGGTCTGGTTGGTTAGACCAGTGTTGGAAGTGGAAAACACACAAACACACACACACACACACACACCAATTAAAATAATGCTGATAGCGTGGACTAGAAGACAGGTGATGGTTTACGTATTTAAATGATGATCAGGCTGCTGTAAAATGTAATCTCCATCCACATCCAGACACAATTATCCTCTATTCTTTCTCTATTTGCTCTGCTCTTGTCTGGGCTGATCAGCTGACGGTGCGCGCGACGCGCCTAACTAGCGGCTGATGCACATTTTACGCATTTGGAGAGGAGGGCTGGATGCTTTGCTTTTACTGGAAGATGGTCCACTTAACGCACGGGTGTAGACTACATATTAATGACAAATGAATGAAAATTAAACTGGGAGTTTTTACGTCATATTTTAGAAATAAAAAGGACGGGGGAACACATTTATGACGCCTTTTTAAACAAAATTTTCTAGCGCGACCTGCCTGCTTCACTTAAGTCACTGCTTATTAAGGTCCGTCCAAAATTACCGTGGGAAACGGGTAATAATGGCTCTTTGATGGGAATAGGTTGCCGACCCCTGGTATAAGATCTGAGCTGGTAAAACAAAAATCCTCATCAGCAGGCGTTTTTGAAAGTGGGGGGGACACAGCTGCCAATCACAAATTTTGCCGGGGACATGTCCCTGGCGTCCCCGGTTAAAATGACGCCTATGGTTTTACCCTATTACATTTAAATTTCATGGTTAAACAGTACATGTTAAAATCTAAGCTCAGCTCGGCAGTGACCTAAAATACATAAATATAATTTTACTTACCGAAAAAAATGAAGTGGAGACTACTTGGACGCTCTATTAGTGCAATTAATGCAACAGCAAGTCATTTTGTCCAACAATTGCACAAATAATATCCAAACAAGAATACACAAACACAGAGACTCAAAATCCCGGAACAGTTTCCAGGCCAGACCGAGGCTCTACTGAGGCCTTTCCACGGAGCTAGCTTTGTGGTCACATGGGTCTGATGCTCATTAATTATACAGAATTTTAGGCTTTTAATACACAAACAGAAGAGTGAGAAAAAATTCACCCCCCTCAGAGTTGTCATGAGGGTAAACTAGATCATTTAAACCAAAAACATGTTTTGGTACCAGGCTGTAAACATGTTTATTTCTGCTGTGAAATTGGTATTTTTAACATGGGAGTCAATGAGGATTTGCTCGCTTCTGATACCAGCCCCCAGTGGATGAGAGTGGAACTGCAATTTTTGTCACTTCCGCGTTGGCCTCAATTTTTCACCCGCATTGTGGGGGCTTGGGCACGACATGGACAATCATCAGGGCTCAGTAGCTCAGGTGGTAGAGCGGGTTGCCTCATGATCGGAGGGTCATGGGTTTGATTCCAGCTCCCGCCAGGGGTATCCTGCTGTTGTGTCCTTGGGCAAGACACTTCACCCAACTTGCCTGTGTTAGTGGTGGTCAGAGGGGCCGATGGCGCCAAATGGCAGCCTCGCCTCTGTCAGACCTGCCCAGGGCGGCTGTGGCTACAAGTAGCTTACCATCACTAGCAGTGTGTGAATGTGAGAGTGTGTGAAAGCGTCTTTGGGTGTCTAGAAAAGCGCTATATAAGTTCAATGCATTATTATTATTATTATTATTATCATAAATCATTCTTCGTTCTGGGTTTTATTTTGTTCTGCTAAATGCAGCAGCTCTTTGTTTATTACCAGTTTCAGTTGCACTTTCTGCTTGTTTGAGCAAATAAATGAAGCTTTAAGAAGCTTTATTCCTGGAATTTATTTATTATCATTGTCATTAAACTAAAGTTGGACAGATGACTTGATTATGACTTGAAAATTCAAAGTTAAGGACTTGGACTTGACTTGGACTTCCACATCATTGACTTTGGACTTGACTTGGACTTGATTGTCTTTGACTTGGACTTGATTGTCTTTGACTTGGACTTGACTTGAGACTTGACTGGAAAGACTTGAGACCTCCTGTGACTTGCGAAGCAGTGACTTGGTCACACCTCTGCCTTTTACTTGTTTTTTTAATACAATGGATCAGACTAAAATGTGAAACGAGTCTTTACCCGTTTCACTCAGATTAGAAAAAGCCACACAGATCTGTTCAGTGCAGGATTTACGTGAAGCTACTGGTCTGGTCGATGCCTTTAGGCCTCAGGTCGGGTACGGCACCTCGATACGTTTCTTTACCAGTGACCGTGAAGCCAGACCTCTCCGGTTATCTGAGCTGACTTATTGTTGGTTCCAAGAACGAGACGAATGTGCCTAAACTATGGAACCAGCTATCACCTGATGCTGGTGGTCTACGTCAGGGCAGAGTTTTAAATCTTAGTTGGTTTTGCATTTTTTGTTATTTGTCATCTAGTCGGGCTTCTGTGCTTTTTCTTTTTTCTTTTCTTGTTTTTATTTACTTGGGATCATTTGTTTATATCTTATGCTTTTGTTTTAAATTTTTTACTAAATGTTTTTATCTGCTGTAAGCCCTTTACCTGTCTGGTCAGCCAACTGGTAGCATATCTTAATTCCTTATGTCTCATTGAAGCATTAAATCAAATAAATAAACCAAACCAAACAATTTCCAAAAATATGTAGATGTTTAAAGAAAATGAACATTATTACATAGCATTATCATTACCTTATCATTATTACAATTATTATTGTATCACTATTATTAAATACATATACCACTAAATACACTAAAGTCTTCATTGCCTCAAATAAAAAAGGGGGACATTTTTCATTGGTTTTTCTTGGTGAGTAAGTTAAATGGTGACCTTGTTTCTCTGGTTCATTGTAGAGCATATTTACTGGTTGGTGTAAAGGCGCTCTACAAGTAAATACATGATGATGAAGATGACGACATCTACATCCCACAATGACATTTTCATTCATAGACTCGCTCACGTTGGCTTGCGATAAGGAAGGCGGATGTTGGATTAGCATCCAGGAAAGAGCAAAGCATGTTTCTTCTAGTTAGCCATTAGCATTAGCAACTCCAAAACACAGCAGAACTCCTCAAGGCTTGAGCAATTTGTGGAGATAAAACATCAACGTTGCAAAGCAAACAGAGTAAGTGGTAGAGTCGTGTTGCTGTTAGCCAGTCAGAGACGAGATGTCTGAACATCAGGTAACAAATACTCCAGATCCTGCTATTTACTGCTTCCCTCTCCTCCGGTGAACTTCTAGTTCCTGAAACAGGAACGCCAGAGCTTTGTTCCCACAGAGATTGACTCTCAAGGCATTCGTTTATACCAGAGACCAATGCAAAGGCATTGAAAAAACAAGTGAACTAGGTCTTTAACATATATGGGGAAAATCCCCTTGGATGGAAGTCTAAACAGAGAGCCTGAAACTTATTTTCTCTTATTTGCAACCAGCAGGCGGTAAAGACGATCATCCAGGCTGTGTAGACACAGCTTCCTTCACAGTGAGGGATAGAAAAACACATTAATAATTAATAAAACTAAACAAAGCTTTTGAAGGCGGCTGCAGAGAGAACGCAAAAAATGACAACAAATAATAAAGATTCAATGCAAATACTTTAATCTAAGAGAGCTTGTCTCATTTGTATTCTCCATGCAAAACTAAAATACCTGCTGTGTGATAGCTGTCTGTAGCATAAGTTGGTCAGATTAGCAGTGTCCTCTCCTTTCTTGGTGGCCATCATATCGACCCTGATGGTGTTTGATAGGCTCCGCAGCCTCACGGGAGGAATCAATAAGAGGAAAAGATTAGAAGGGGCTATAGGACGACAGGAGGCAGAGAGCTGGACGGATGTGGGCCGTCTATCGAGACGGAAGAGAAAAAGAGCCATTATTCACAACATTGCCTCTCAAAAGACTTCGATAAGATGAAGCCCTTCATCGTTGCTATTGATTGCTGGTTACAATGTGCACCAATTGGAGGCGTCCATTGTTAAGCCTACATGATGCGCTCAAGTGTCCTCAAAAAGCTGTGATTGTTTAGCAGATGCTGCAGCGGCAAACATATTGTTGGTCACGTCCCAAACGCTTCAAGAGGTTGTCTTCGCGTGCATGAAATGACTTGCTTCATTAATGCCTGCTCATGCTTTCTCATCTGCACCTGTGCTTTAGATTTGAGACAGCCGTCACTGACTAGGCAAGGCTACACCAGCTACCTGGGCGTCCCCAACGAGCTGAGGGTGCGACTCGGAGATGACGTAGTGCTGAAGTGTTCAGCAAGCTCATCGGAGGAACCCAACTACTTTTGGCTGAAAGAGGTGAGAAGGCTTCGGGTGTTAACCCACAGAGGTGGGGTCCTCGTTACAGCGGCGGCAACTGCTGAAAAAAATCTTGGTGGGGCTGCATGTGTAATATTTCTCTTCTTAGTCCATTATAACTATTAAACTGAACCATTGAAAAATGAGTGCATTTAAAAAAAAACTGACATTAATTTACTTTCTCCAAATAAGCAGTATTACAAATAGTCAGTTTTCAAATTTAAAGATAAACAAGACTATATTATTTGATTGATTGACTGAATCTTTATTTTGAACATATTAAAAAAACAGTACATAAAAATAAAGGAAGAAAATAGTCAGAGAAAAAAATAACCAAATAAAAAACAAAAAAATAAAAAGAAACACACTACAAGTAATGTTCAAAAAGGAGCTTAAACTCATTTAATCCCACCCCATTTCCACTCTAACAATCAATAGCCTACAGACATTCCTCGTTATAGTTTCAGTTTATATGACATGTATATATTTAAGAGCATAGGGATACCCAACGCAACATACCCATGCACAATTATGTCATTAATTATATTAATAATATATTATATTAATAATAGTAATGATGATGATAATACTCAAATAAATACACAAGCCTACCGTGTGAGCCTTTAAGAGCAAATGCAGTCAAAATTTTCCATTTTTGTTTTTATTTGTTTTTTTTTTAAGTTTAAGTATGTTCTTAGTTGGCTTTCCAGCTATCTTTTCCAGTCTCCAGCAGTCTCAATCTGCTCAAAGCATGACCGCCTCAAAGTGCAATACTCAACTCAACCAGTAGGTGACAGTACCACAACATTGAAATTGAATTAAACATCCTAAACATTATAAACCCACAAAATGAGAACAAATACACACATTTCACAGCAACAGCTACAGGTATGAGTTCAGCTCAATATGTATCAAACCAACAGTGAATGTGTGTGGATGAGGAAACGACAGAGAGAGAAGAAAAGGAGGTCCAGCACCTTCTATCTAGCATGCTAGCTAGCTGTTTTCTGCAGCTAGGGTGCTTTCGGCCAGCGCCCCAGAGGGGTTAAATTCACAGATGCTGGTTGGCCCAAAATTCACCAGTTCTCCCTAGCAACTGAATGTGATTGGCTGTTTAGCTGCAGTTCAGGGGCGGTTTTCCCAGCTTTCCAGGAGTGAGACTACTGAGTCTGGTGGAGGAAATTCATCGTTTAATGAGCGATAGCTTGTCAAAATGATGTGTAAATAATTCAGATTACATGTAGGCACACACAATTAACTCATTCTCTGCCAGCCGTTTCCTGATCGGTAAAGCCCTTCGCTGCCAGCGTTTCTCACCGTTTTTACTGTTTTTTTAAGAGTCAATGAACGTTGCGCGCTAGGATGACGTTGACGCAAAAACAACCAAAACAACCAAAATAAAGTGGAGTCTCACCTCATACATCAGGAAGAATCCGCACGTTTCGAGCTTTATCCATTCTTTCATAATCCGTTGTTGAATTGTGATCGGCAGAAGTTTTTCCGGTTCGCGCATCACTTTTTTTTTACAGCAGTGGCCCAAAACGATCTCCTAACACATGGCTTTTCTGCTTCCTGATCACGTGACGTGTGACGTATGCGGATGAAGATCGGCTTTAGAGCTGAGATGCTTGTTCTCACGGTGCGGGGGCTCGTTCCGACGCCCACACAGCAAAAAAATGCAAATGATGACTTTAGTTGTCATTGGTAGTGAATGAGTTAAGCAAATCTGACACATTCATACAAAATATTTGAATATCTATTGTAGTTTAATTGAATTGTTAGATTTTTTTCTCTCTCTTCAAATCAGGTAGAGCGGTGCTCTAGCGCCCCCTTTGGACGAGCCACACTGACTTTTGGAACCTTGTCATTATTTTTGTTTAATCCCGTCCCTCGTTTATTATTTTTTTACCATCTCCTTCCAGCCTCAGCAGGTCTCTGCTGACCTCTTGGCTTTGTTCAGACATTTTCTTCATTGTACACACCCTCTAACCCATCTCTGTTCTGTACTTTTTCCCTTCCTGACTTTCTCAAGCCTTGCCCTCTGTCGTTGCTCTCTATTCCCTCAACCAAAGGAGCGCTCTGTGTTTAAGTGACTGGTTGGCTTAGCCTCACCTCTCACTGGGAATTGCAGCTTGCCCATTTACAGAGGATTAATAGTTTAATGAGGTCTAGACAAGAACCAGTCAACCTGAAAACAATTATGTGGATAGATTTCTAATTATTTTTTTCCTTAGTGTTTGGTTAACTGTCATTGAATAATTCAACCGGGCTCTCTTCGATGAACTAAGAAACAGTTTCTGAAAGGAAATGGAGATGTCTCGAGGTGTTATCTGGTATGTAGAACAAGAAGAACTTGATTAGTCAGAAGATGATTTTGGTTCCCTTTTAGATTACTGAAAAAAATCCCCTCAAACATAACCACATGAACACTATTTTGGGGAAGGCAGATGTAGTGGAATTTTCTCTTTTAGTTTAGCTTTCCTGAGAAATTGTCTCGGGATTGGAATGCTTGTTAAAGGGTCGCTGCTAATCTCGGGGTTTACGAGTTCAAACCCAATTCGTCGGGCTTGCCATGGCGCTTACGCCGTTTCTCCTCGACACGATCGCGTGTACGGCTTTAGGGTGTCCTCTAGTTAGTGCTGTCACCTGGAACAGGAGGTGGTAATCAGATCGCTGTGGAGGTAATTAATGAAATGGTGGAAATTCTAGCGAGTGATCAAATGATTGCTTCTGTTTATTAAAAGTTGATGTTTCTGTGTGTGTGTGTGTGTGTGTGTGTGTGTGCGTGCGTGTGTGTTTGACAAGTGTGGATGTGAAGCAGAAAGTGGCCGGGTTTGACAGACAGCCGCCGTGAGCGCTTTGGCTGGAGAAATGACAGCAGGACAGAGGCAGAAACGGCGGTCCGCCTTTCCAGCCAGTGGATTTGCATACAAAATGCTGCTTTGGCCAGACCTGGCCTTTATGGGAAATCCTCTTAATTCAGATCCATTCAAACTGAAATGGACTTTCTTGGCAGGAACCACCCCGCTCCCAAAGAGCCAAATCATTTGCATGGTGTAATGTTTTTTTTTTTTCTTTGTTGTTTTTTATTTATTTAACCCCCCCTCCTCTAAATTCATTTGTTCTCCATTCCTTGTCATTGGCTTGTGATTTGTTTCCTCCCATGTTGGACTCCATCTCATATAAGTATTTCTATTTCTGTGTCAACAATTCCTTCTGCTCCCCTGCCACCTCATTACGGGCTGTGTTAACAGTGTGTTGCTGCAGCATCATTCTGCTGCTATCTGAGTTATTGACTTGTGTCGATGCATGTTCATTCACTAGGATTACTTCTCAGGTAAATACACTTCGTTTAGGACATGTTGGACTGCTTTCTGAAGGCCACACCTGCACATATTTCTCTTTCTGTGTCTCTGTTCACCTCCTGGTCCTCATTTTGTTTCTATTTTGTTGTAAATCACTGTCCTCTGTTGTCTCTCCCTCAACACAAAACTCAAAATATATACTTTCGGCTCCATTATTACTTGTTTATCTCATTTTTTCCTGCACGGATTGAGTCTGATCTCCCCATGTTTCCTTATTTCTCACTCTTGTCAACCACCACTTTTAGTTTGTATTCTTGCAGGGCCGCAAACAACCCTTTTGTTCCACTCTCATGTCTGTTCCTCGCAGGGTAATGACTGGATCCTGCCTTCTTCTACTCTGACACTGAGGAAGATGAGTGCTATGGATGAAGGACAGTACACTTGCATGGTCGAGCATCCTTCTGTTGCGTCCCTCAGCAAGAAGCTCACCATCACCATCACCCTTCTGCCCAGTAAGACGAGACTTCACCTTGTTAAGGCTCATTGTCCGTAGGATGGAGTGTGGAGAGGTTGTACACCACTTCCACCTTCCAAAAAAAAAAAAAAAAAAAAAACCAGAGAGTTCTTTGGAAGTGTGGGGAATTCGTTTGGAAAGTCCTTTAATCTGTTCGCTCTTTTATCAGCCACTCAAATGTCACATTAAAGGTCAGGGTATTTTCCAGATGCTGTTACACCACGCTGCGTGTAGCCACAGGTTATCAGTTTCAAGCATGCAACCGTAAACGTTCAAAGTTTATGGGAAGCGAACGGAAGTTCGATATCAAAGCAGGAAACAAGGTGAGATCCAGAAGAGGGAGAGACATTTATTGAAATGCCTCCGCTAGGAAGGTGAGAATTGAAATTACACCTAAAATGTCAAACATGTAATAGGATAAATATGCAATATGAAAATAAAGAGCAGAACTGAGTTTACCTGAAAGGATAAGATAGTAATTATAGGATTTCAAGGAAGTAATGGCTACATTTGACCTTCAAAGGCTTTTTTTTAATCTTCTTGCCTTGAGGCGAAAAGAAAGCTGGAACCAAAAGCAACACATAGGAAGTTGTTGGCAATGTGCTTGTTGTCCTGGCAGACTGATCGGCAGCTATGGTTGTGGCTTTGCAGCTCAAAAAAAAATTATATATATATATATATATATATATATATATATATATATATATATATATATATATATATATATATATATATGTATATATATATATATATGTATATATATATATATGTATATATATATATATATATATATATATATATATATATATATATATATATATATATATATATATATATATATATATATGTATATATATATATATACGGGGCTGCGCAGTGGTGCAGTGGTTAGAGCTGTTGCCTTGCAGCAAGAAGGTCCTGGGTTTGCTTCCCAGCCTCGGGTCTTTCTGCATGGAGTTTGCGTGTTCTCCCTGTGCATGCGTGGGTTCTCTCCGGGTGCTCCGGCTTCCTCCCACTGTCCAAAAACATGACTGTTAGGTTGACTGGTTTGTCTAAATTGTCCTTAGGTGTGAGTGTGTGTGCATGATTGTTTATCCTGTGTGTCTCTGTGTTGAATTTTTTTTTTTTTGCTAGTTTTAAGAATTGTAGCTAGTCTACTTTTGCTTACCCCACTGGCAGATTTTTTAAAAGTTCAAAACAAGACAATTTAGATCATATTTAAGAATATTAGCCTTATTTTATGTAACGCTGTTTTTCTAGATAAGAATTTATTTTTCTTTTGACTAAAAATAAAAAAAATGTGTTTAAAAAAAGGCTCTTTTGCTTTCTTAGAAACCAGTTCTCGCAGTGGACGTTCTATAGTCTGAATGGTTTCAATGGTTTATTCACACGTATGATTTTCTAATCTTGTCCACACCTGTATTAAACTATAGGCCATCTTAAAGCCTAACAAGAATCTTTTTGTGGACGAACTTGTATAAAAAGTTTGTTTCCATCTTTAAAGCAAGGCAGTAATTTTCCTTACAGCGATAAACCGAATCCAATCACAGCACTTCATCAGTTTCATCTTCATCACCGACCTGTGAGATCATAACAGCTAATTTACTGCATATTTAAAGCACGCTCCTCCATTTCACTTTAACGAATTGCATTATGCAATCTCCAGGATAGCGTGATAATTTAGCGAATGGTCAACATGAAGCTCTTGTGTCTCTCCAGCATTAATAAATGAATACCAAGGATGAATGTTTGTTCCTTCCTGCTGTTATGGTAAGAAAACACCTCTGAAGTTGCTCTACATAGGCGGCACAAACCTTAAGCAAGCGTTTCTTGTGTGAACCCGTGACTCCAGAGGCTCAGGAATCCTCGCAACGCTCATACGAGGAGACATTTCCTTTCTGCTGCTTTAAATTTTCACAAGCTTTTATTTTGTTAAGCCTTAGCTTTGTTTAGAGCTCCAAAGAACACACTGACAAAATCCCCTCTCTCCTTTTTATTCCCAGCATCAAACATAAATTAGAAATCCGTGCACATGAAGGGGATAATAATCACCCCTTTTTTGTTTTACATTCTGACACAGGCTTCCTGTGGGTCAGAGCCACGTTAAGACTCATCCGAGCAACAGAAACTTTCTCTTGTACAAACAAGCCAGAGGTTGCCGGGAGACACTTTGCCTAGAGGCATTCTGCTCTGCTGATTCCAGATTCTGTGTCAAACACGTTTCCCTCCATGTGTGTCCCTCAGAGGATGCTGCCTGGTACGAGACTACAAACGGACGCCTCTGGTTGATTACCTTGGCCGTGGCTGTTCCTCTGCTTGTGTTCATCGTGGCTGTGAGTGTGTTCTTCTGCCGCAGGGCCAAGAGGATCAGGACCAACAAGGGCCCGATGTAAGGAATCTGTGTGTGTTTGTGTCTGGCTATTTTTCATACGTGTTACCGAGTCACTGCAGCCAGATTAAACTCACGTCATCACGCGCAGATGAACTTGTCTGAGGAGAGGCTATCACTGGGCTGAGACGTTTGGGAACAAGGTGGAGGCGCGCAAACTGCAAGAAATGACAGAGCAGACCCATTTCATCGTAGATGTTTTAGCATAGCATAGCATAGTTTATCTATATAGCACGTTTAAAATGCAGCATTGGAGCTGCCCAAAGTGTTGCACAGTCTAAAACAAAACACAACCATTACAAGGAGCTAAAACAAAGGATAAAAATCTCAATCAAAGGCAGATAAACCATGATGAATACTAAGAACACATTAAAACATTGATACACTGAAACACTAAAACGAGTCACTGTCTAAAAGCCAAAGTGTAAAAGTGGGACTTTAAACGAGATTTAAAAACCGCCAGAGATGGAGCCTGCCGAACTCCAATGGGCAATGAGTTCCATAGCTTTGGGGCAGCATGCACAAATGCTCGACCCCCCCCCCCGATTTGAGTCTCATCCGCGGCGTGTACAGCAGCAAAAGGTTTTGACTTAAAAGAACACAGGTGTGCTGGTTGTTCTGCAAAAGAGCGAGCAGGACTTCTACATGGAATGCAGCCCTCATGAATGCTTTTACTTTTATGGAAGTATATTTAATGGTGCAAAGGATGGATTTGAAGTTATCTAAACTTACAGCCATTTTCCCGCTGGTGTTCTCCGTGCCTGGTGCGATGACGTCACTTTCGTGAAGCCCGTTTGTAGTCCTGGACTTATTTTCCACACAAAACCTAAAATAGCGTTAACCCCCGTTTGAAAATAAGCAATATGTCATCCCGGCCGGTGTGAGAGAACCAAGGTCATTTCACTGACAAGAGTGCGTATGCGGCGTTTGCAGATTTTAAAACCCTTTTGTTTGGAATCCACCCTTGTGTGCAGGCCGGCGTTTGAAAAAGCATTTTTCCTCGCTGAATATTAAAACCCATCGCAGCAGATCGGATCCACTTGACCTCATCCTCCATCTCTCTCCTCTCTCTTGTTTCTACGCCATCGCTGTTTATGAAAAGCTTTCAGCAGCTAGCTGAATTATGTGAGTGTTGTATAAAAGACAGAAAATATCAGCACAGTTATGGAGGTCGAAGGAACTCTTGATAGTTCCATTAGCTGACAACATAATAATGCCCACCATGACCCCATGCAGCTTCATTTACACCCAGTACTGAAGAGGGTTTTCTTTAAGCTGTAGTTAAAAAGATAAGAATGGTGGTTTTTCTGGTGGTGTAAAAAATAAATCAATCCTCCTGATGAATTTGTACTTCCTTGTGTGCAAAAAAAATGCAGGAAGCAAAAGAAAAGATAATCGACTCACCCCTCTACAACCAGGTGTTGCTGCGGTGCTCAGTTCTAGACCATAATTCTCTCACTTATATTATTTGAGTGTTCTGCCAGATCGATACGCTGATAATGGTGTGCTGTTGTTTTCTTTCTTCATCTCTCCAGCGATGACCACTCTCAGAAGAAGCCCATCTACAAAACAAGTGCAGAGTCCCTTCCCTCCACCTGCGCTGACAACCAACCCCTGGTGTGACCACACCAGCAGGTGCATAGGAGAGGGAGGGAGGGGGTGACCACAGAAGGGGGGATACATGTGTCAGGAGAAAGGGAGAGGAGAGGCAAATGGGGATATTGGACTGCGTGGAGATCAGACAAATTGGGTGCATAAAAGGAAGAAAAAACATAGCAAACGGCAAATGGTTGCTTTATAGATGCCGAAGCGGCTTTGCTTGGGACTGCAGTTGCATGTCTCGAACTGAAAGGTTTGGCAATTTTCTTTTCATTTACTCTGCAGCGTGAAAACGGCGAGCTACGTTTGTTGCAAAGTGATGATGAAGAATCTCGTGTAGTTGTAAGAGCGGACCAATAACACCACGCATGCAATCCTTTCAGTTGCAGATGGAATCGCTCACACTGTTTTATTATAAATGAACTATCTGGGTGACGGGGAAAGCTTTTATTTTAATGATCTGTTTCTGTTAAATTATTTCTTTTTGTTCCACAATTGAAAACAAGTCAAATATTTTAAGGGCTTGTTATGATCTCTATATTGTGGCAGCACTCGAGCACTTTGCACTGTAAAACCTGTACATCAAGCTTCTTTGATATTAAATGGCTTACGTAAAATAATATTTGCTGTCCTCCAGCGTGTCATTGATTTATTTTTTTTCCACTTTAGAGGTGCAAAAGTGGTTGGGGGTTATTGACAATGCGATGAAAGCCGGATATGGGTGCTCGCTTGGTCGCACATCCTCTTGATCCCGTGTCAACTTGGGTTGGCATCATCTTGTTTACTGACCCTGAGACCTTCTTCTGAGGGAGTGATGTTTACTTAGTTTTCTGCACTCCTGAGTTTCCCAACAAGCACCAAGTCGTCTTCAGTGAGTTTGACCATGCATGCACTGAGTAGCTTTCACACATTTGGACTCACACTTTTAGTAATAGCTGTTAAGTTGCGTAACCTTGGTATTTTGACCATCGACTACAAATGCAGACATGTTAGCTGCTGCTGCTTTACTTCTGTTTAAACTGACAAGAGACCAAGGCCGCTGAGAAACCATCTGTTAATTGTTATTTTATGGTCGGCCACTCGGAGTTTAAAGGGACTTTACGGGACTTTTTAATTTTTATGCACGCAATTTCCCCCTCAGGCCAAAAGCGTAACAGCACCTTCAATAGTAGGCTCGTGCACGAGGCGTGCACACTCCTTAACGAAAATAACAGCTGAGACAGTCCCATGTGTGTGTGTGTGTGGTCCGGAGGACAGAGGACAGGAGAACGCGCAGCTAATTAATTAAATAATTTGGTTCTGTACCTTTCTCTTCAGCACAGCCGACAAAGGTTTATGATGGGTCAGTCCTCCTGCATGCTCAGATCATTCCCTTCCCTTGCTTGAAAAATTGTTCCAAAATGAAAGTTGAACCCACATCTTTTTTATCTGTGAATTCAATGCCGTTCGGCGAGTCTCAAATAAAAATTTGGGCATCTTACTGTAAAAAAATATACCATTAATGTAAAAAATAAACTCTAAATAAACTATGTTCACATCCAGAATCGAACCCAGATCTTCTACCTGGGAGTCAGACATCTTACAAGGTGAGCAACACACCAGTAACAATCATAGTATCTGTAACTTTTATATCCTTAATGACAGCTGAAACAACGTCAAACCAAAGAACGGTTAGAAGCGAAAATGGCTATTTTGTTGCTAATTTGCAGGAAATATCTAGAAGAAAGTTCTACAGAAAGTAGCTAAGGGTCCTCAGAAATGTAGCTAGGTTCATCACTAGGCGTTAGGAACAGCAACAAAGTCGCTGAGTTGGCACTACCTCACTCTCTGCTGCTAAAGCTACGGATAGCAAATGCTACGGGCTATGCCTGAGCGTGAACGAGCATGAAGCAGCCTGCTCGACCCGAGCATCTCTCTTTTTCTGTGATTTTACAGAAAAACAGGCAATCACAGTAAAAATGCCAGGGCTCATTCTACAGGCCAGGGCATTGCAGGAGAATGTATGAAGAAGAAATTTATTATTTCTATACATGTTTTGGCTGTCAAACTTCCATAACGCCCCTTTAACATTCAGGCTAAATGTGGAAACAGTTTTCTACCCCTATTTGCTTGTTAACCCTCATTAAAAAATAGACGAGGAAATGCTCGGATTAGAAAAGCCAGTCAGTTGCACATCACATTGTAAAATGAGCAATTATGGACTCACTCATCTTGGCTCGCGACAAGGCAGGCTGTTGTTTCAGCGTCCAGGAAACAGCAGAGCACATCTTAGCTAGTAGAAGCTAACCATTAGCATTAGCAACTCAGCATGGCAGAACTCCGTCAGGCTTGTGTTGTTTGTGGAGATAAAACATCAGTAATGCAGAGGTAGAGTGGCATTGCCGTTATCCAATCAGAAGTGAGATGTCCAAATATCAGGAAATACGTATTCAAATTTATATTTAAAAAGTAGTGAACTTGGTCTTGAAATTCCATCTTCTCCAATCTTCGCAACCCGGTTACAAAAAAAATTATTATGGTATGCAACAACTTCATCTTTTTAATTTACTCCTCTGTTGCTTTGTAACCCTGAACGCTTTGCTGCACCACCATTGCTTATTACCAGAACTGTGCTCTCAATGCTGAGAATTTCATTACGCCTGTCCATTGAAGTTATGTCGGATTTTATGTGGTTTTATTATCGGTGTGTGGTTGACCGTAGGCCGTTGTTAATAATGGCCAAAGCGGCAGTTTAACAATGACACTCCATTAACTGTTGCATGCGCCACAGAGCACAGCCCGGATAATGTTATTAAACTGATTATTCAAGCCCTCCTGTACAACTGCTGCAGACATCCTTTCTTGGGGTTTTTGCTGTCTTTATGTGTTTTTCCGTTTTCCAACTTCACAGAATCCAACAAAGTTTATGACTTAAACACAACAGAGAAACGGTAACAAAAATAAGAAAGTAGGGAAGAAAAAATATATTTTCGCCAATGTTTAAATAATTTTCTAACAGGATTCATTTCTGAGTGGCGAAACACCATTCAGAGTTCACATTTTAAGGAGCCTGCAGGCAGGAAAGTGATTAAAACATGAGATTATAAATTTAGAGACAAAAATTACTTTCATCATTGTAGACTCAATTTATACTACAATAAAAAGCCTGGCATCCGGCCTTTTTAGGAAAAAAAAATATTTCATGGCATGAAGAAAACATGGACCGACAGCTGCTATAAAAGCAGAGAAACGCTGCTATAGAACCTGGATCCTTGATCACTCCAAAAATAAAATGTATTTTTTCATGAGTGTAGATGCTTGGAAATAGAACAATATAGAAAAGAATGTCATGCCATACACTGCCAGTTTGTTTTGCCCTCATTCTGCCATTTTTAACTTGTCCTCGTTTTTCAAACCCTACTACAGCATATGCATGTGGGCGTAGCCTCCAGAATAGGAAGAAGCGCATGTCGTTTGGAACGTAGACATGAATATATAGATGACTCATTAGGCCCTGGAGAGCATGACACCATCGCCACCATATTGGGTGGGTTCCTCACTCTTCAAACCCGACTGGAGTTAACGCAGGGAGGGTAATATGCTCATTTTTGTGCAGCCTAAGATTACAACAACTGGCACACTATTGAAAACAGATCACTTGGATTACTTTAGACTTTTCTCGCCTACCTGTTGGGACTTAATATTTTATTTATTTTAACAAATGTTTAAATTATATTTATATTTTAACTATCATGCAATACCACATGTATGGTTTTGTGAAAAAGCATGGCAACATGTGTTTTTAGTGGGGTAAACACATTCCTCAGTAGAAATAAATGCACTGTGGGCAAATGAGGACCCATCCAAGGTGGCAGCTCCAATAGGCCATGGGTCATCTACGTATACGATATCTGTGGTTTAGATGGCATGACAAAATAAGAGCATGCTTAGAGAGTGGAAAGTGACAAAATGCATATTTTATGTGATTGAATATTTTGTCGATTAGAATGTTTTTGTATTCATCTGGAGCCTGAGTTGGTGTTTAATAGAATTAAAAAAAAACTTTCAGTAAAGTTCAGCACAGTAAACAACTTAGTCTTAAATCCAAAATTCCTTCCTGCATGCTAAATGCCAGCCAGGTCCATCTTCTTTTGGCCTTTGAGTCAGTCATGAGTGAAATCCTGAGTGCTCCTGAGTCGTCTTTGTTTCCAGGTTTCAGCTGGATGACCACAGACGACGATGTTATTTACCAGAAGTTTCTCCTCAGAGGAGCTGACCCCAAAGTGCGAGGCTCAGGTTTGAAGAGAGAGGGAAAGAGTAGTTTACAATAACATTTTGACCTCGGTGGTGCCTCCTCGCTAAACCACAGGACAAACATCTTGAGCCTCTGCAAAGAATACAAAGCAGCTCCAAATGTTGAGTTTGATGCAGGCAGGCTCCCAACAACAGAGATCCGTGGCATTAAAACCCAGCCGCTCCTCTCCTGAGTCCAACCCTTCTTGGCCACACTCAAAGCCTCCATGTAGGAGTGACTTATACCAGACAGGATACTCCACTCACTAATGTGTTGTGGTGCCAGACATTTGCTACTGTATGTCACTGCCTACTGCTGTTCTCGTCATGGACATTTGATTTTGGAAGTGGGTCGTGCATATGTTGCAGCAAACGGCTGAAAATGAAGGATTGGAGTTTGCTGCAGAAGCAGGTGTTTTCCCCTCATTACTTCCTGACAATGCCCCATCTGGTGCGGGGGAGCTGCCGCCACCAACTCCCTGCCAACCTGGGAACAAACACTCGTATTATGGAGGAACAAATGGAATGGGTTGGGAACTGGGGGCTGATTAGGGCAGATATTATCACTGCAGAAACATCTCGGTCAAAACGTGTGTCAGAATAAAGTCGCTGAGTGAGGAAGGCATAAATCGTAGACTTCAAACTCACACTGATCCATCAGAGGAGGTGAGATATGAGATTTCAGAGCAACTTTATGAAAATCAAAGGTAGAAACATTAATATTAATATAAATATATTGCTTTGATGCTTTAATGCCTGATGGAAAATTTTCAACAGCTTGAACCCCCCCCCCCCCCAAAAAAAAAAAAGAAGACAGTGGCTGGAGGACCTGAGACTGATGAGATGTGGAGGCAGATTTCAGGAAAACCATGACGTGTTAATTCAACTGTCACCGGTAGGGGGCGACAAAGATGCAGTTGAGAAAGCATGATTAGAGCCTTGGAGGGAACTAATCCATGGAATCAGAAGGGGAAAATAAGAGATGTGGAAAGAAAAACAATTTTCATAATAGAGCTATGCTCTCTGACTGGAAAACACAATTGTGGCCAAAGAGTGACACGAGAATAAACTTTAAAGAGTCCCTGTTTAGCAGGACTTAAAAAGGTCTGCTCTGCAGATAATGTCCCCAGGACAAGTTTTTGTTCCGAATCATTACCAGCATTTGTGAGCCCTGCATGGTTTCAAACAAAAATCAGTTACTGCATGTGACTTTGAACTCAAAAATATGTGTTTTACGTTCAAAGAAGCTCCTAAAAATTGATTCAACTGAGTTTTTTCTAGTTTTGATAAATCAAAACAGATGAAAAACAGTTTTTCTAAAAAATTTTTTTACAAAGATGAATTCAAGTT